TATATGCATATGTATATATATATACATATATGTATATATATGCATATATATACACGCATACATACGCAAATGCATACATATATACGTACATACATGCATACATACACACATACATACATACCGCTGTCGTCGGCTGGAAATGTAAAATGCAAAGAGATAAATTACTTTATTGTAAAGTCTGATTATCTTCACCATTTCCTGCATGTCTGCCAGATTATTCTTCGCCATCTCACCAAAATTTGCTAATCGCAAGCCATCTGCCCAATTTTTCATGTGCAAGCTTTGCAGCATTTTTTGCTCCTTCGGCGTCGGCTTGAAACTAATCGTAATTGAGTAATACCTGAAATAATGTGCGGGATGGTTGCTGAGCTGTTCACTCATTGCTTAACGGCTTTCTGTCTTTAGTCGTTTTCTCACTGACTTATTCTGGATCCAGTGAGAACTCAGTATGAACAGTTTTTGCGGTAAATAAAGTGCTGATGTTTTTCTAGCAATTAGCGCATACCAGATTTCCAGTTTCTTATCAAGAAAAGGATATTTCACATTCCTGTTGCTTATGTTTTTTTTTTGATTGGAGTGTGATTGAAAACGAAGCATAGCCGTCAGCAGATTTGTGCTCTATCCTCAAAAATATCTAGCCATTCTTCTGAATAATTTTGAAAACAGACGTTTTGCCGAGTCCATGAAGTTGTTCGATGATGGTGGGTTTAACAAGATGTCCCAGATTCGACGTGGTTTGTCGCGATTCTTCTGTGGGTGCCAGTGTTTTATGTAAACCTTCCAGAATGCCCAGCTCCAACGTATTCTGTCCAGTCGTACGAAACGCATCGATTACCACCTGAAAATTGCTGTCAAATTTGGCTACGTTCAGTGAATCTCCTTCATTTTATATCGAAGAAATGTACAGAATTCATAAATGAATAAAAAAAAACATTCTCGAATCCAGTTGAACAGATACTTTGTGGCTCAGAGTAGCGCGTGTTCAAAAGCGCTGAAACAAAAAGCTTCACTGGAATAACTTTGTACTTTTTATGCGTTTTGTGCTGTGTAACAGCAGTACAAAACGCATATTGTTACGGGGTTGT